TGATTCCGGTAAAAAATATTTCTGAAAGCACACTGTTTTAAAAAACTTTCTATCAATATAACTAAATTTCCTGTTAAAAAAATTAATAAGGGTCAATTTTTTCCTCCTAACATAAATTTGATCTCATGAGAAAGATGTAAATAAACAATTAAAGAGTAAAAGAAAGAGATATCGTTTAGACAACAAAAGTCGCACTTTTGGATTATTAAAAAATCTAACCGTTAAGATTAGTTTTTTACTATTCTAACATGAATGCATTAGTAATTTGAATTAACTATGAGGGATCAGGCCCCGGAAACGGTGATCCTTAGATTTGAAAAAAACAAAACACAATGTTTTGATAGGATTGTTTCTTTGATTTATGCAGACACCCAAACCCATAACAATGTTAAATGCAATCAAAAGGCATATGCAGGTTGAGTTGATTGGTTAGATTAATCTAAGAGACCAAAATCGGCAGGTCTAGAAATAGAGAGTTATCGATGCGCTAACAGGACCACGACAATGATTTCAATGGTGTTGCGACCGCCGACCAATCTTATGTGACGGTAAATAATTGATCGATGACAACCAAAAAGACTGTGGCNTCTCGAAAATTCAAGTGTAATAAGAAGTGGCAGAGAAAGAGAGTTCTAAGAAAATTTAAAAATGCAAATTTGTTGAACATTTCTTTTCGAATGAATAAGCACAATAATAAAAAATGGTGTATTGAAGAATTTCCACGGCATAAGCGATACTGCTGGAAAAAAGAGAGTAGGAAGGGTTTAAAAATAAGAAAAACATACACACCCTTTGAATTCATTGGAAAATATATCTAGATACAGTATATGCTAATAAATAGGTGAATAGTAGAGTCGGCAATGTGAAACGATGTTTTAGATGCCATAGGACATAATTTAAAAAAGAGAAGAGATGCATCTATTTGTTGCTAATGGTTCATTGCACCTGACATCAAAAATTGAAATAATCAAATGATCGTATCCTTTCATCTTTTCTTAACGAAAAAATGACACGTATTATTCTCACAGCGACTGAACCCATGTTTTATAATATATATATAATTATTGATATGGTTTAGTTTCGTTTGTTAATTTCTGCGAATCTTTTTTGGGCTAGGCCCTCTTGTTATTGCCTTGGGCTTTATATATACAATGGGTTGCCGACAAAAAAAAAAAAAACTTTTTGATATATAATTGTTTGTAGGTGAAGTGACATTTTTCTAAAAACTTGAGGAGATTATTTAGTTGACAGATACTAATTAGTATTTACAATAATGGTTTTGGGAGCCGAGAAAATGGGCCTCTAGATGATGAGAAAGATATTAGACCATCTCCGATATAATTTCTTATATTTCTTTTTATATTTGATTT